TAGCAACATTTTCAGACTTTGTTTTGGTACAAAAAAGTCTGCCAAAAAAAAATTACACTAGATTTGTTGCTCATGGCCTTTTTGTGTGTATGTGACTTCAAGTCACTTGTTGACTTATGGTTAACCCAAAAATTGTATAGTTTTCTTAAGCAATGAACACTCAGAGGTGGTTTGGCATTGCATGGTCTTTACTGAGTTACCAAAACAAAACTTTAAAAAAAAACAACCCTCCATTTTTGTTAATACAGGCTAAGTATCCCTTATCTGGAATTCTGAACTCCTATACTACATTCTGACCTCAGAAGCATGCACAGGCTTCAGTCTTGCACACAATCTCAGTAAGGCATGCATAGGACTGTACTGTTTACCTCCAAAAAGAAGAAAGCCAAAAGTGTGCAAAGGCATTTGCTTCAGCACCAAACTCCTAACAGCACAGAAAATATATTGGCAAAGATCCTGCACTGTCTGGTGTAACTATGGTGGAAAAGCACCATTATCGTAGTTATGTCTGATGATGCCACCCCTCAAAAACCTATCTTCTCAGTCTGGCAGCACCTCAACCAAAGGGTTCTGCAAGGCATTGCAGATCATACTATAGGGAAATTGGAGAATTTGGTTTGATAATATTTTATCTAGGCAAATCAGCCTAAATCACATGCCCTACTAATGTCGATGACATACAATTATCTTCCAGTTTTTCTTTCCAGCTTTCTTATACTGTACATTACTATCTTTTGTCAGAAAGGCTTGTACAAATACAAGTTTGTACAAATATTACAGAGGTGAATCTGTAGAAAAATGCAAAACAATTGTGTTTTATTTTAATCCACAGAAAACAGGATGGAAGACACTTAAGACTGAGCACATGTGAAACTGTTAACAAACTGATGCATCCATCTCTACAATGGACATTTGTGTATGAACTGGAACACTTCCAATCACGAGTTTACCAAAAGAGAGAGAGAGAGAAATGGAAGGGCAAATGAATCCAGACTCTTGCCCATTTCCCTCCTGATCTTCCAATGAAGGAGTTCAACTTCATGCATCAGGCTATAAGCACATATTCTGGCTGTCATGCCATATATCCCATATATTAGTACCTACAATTACCCATCCACAGAGAAAAACCTATACAGCCCCTACCAAAATGATATATAACACAAATGTTAATTTCTATGTACTCACCTAAGAGAACATGGGCATTCATGCAGTCAACAAGTATTCCACCAATCAAAGAACCACCAAAATACCCCGATGAACGACCCACAAAGATGAAAGAGATCTCACTGACATTTTTGTTCACATTTGCAGCCAAGTCTGGAAACGTGGGCCCTAGGATTGCAATGGCCATACCCTAGAAAGCACAACAAACTATGGTTAACCAAGACAAAGCTGGAATAAGATATGTTGCTGAGGCAGAGAAGGAAGCTGCACCTCCTCTCCCACACAAGTCAAGGCACATACTACTCAATCTAAGGCATGTGAGGCAAAATAATTTATCAATAATTCCTGCAAGTACTTCTCTCCCTTTAATGCCACTAAAATTAAAAACTAAGAATTTGCTGCCGACACCAACATTTTGCTATCTGATGGTGCAATAATAAAATATATCTGCTAGTAAAAAAAATATTTGCACACAAATATGGAAAACACAGCATTTGACACTCCAATGATCCAACAGATTTTTAAACATGAGCCCAGTGAAATTAATGAATACTAAAAAAAAATTGTACTTTCTGTAAGACATAACAACAGCTCACTAGGAAAGGCTTGTAACACTACAGTCTTGTAAGGTTTATAAGTAGAAAGAAATCAGTAAAACAATTAAAACTGATACAAACTATTTCAAGACCTTCACTCCCCAATCACCACCACTTTACTTTATTTAACCCAGTACCCAACATATAGCAACTCTCTTTGAAACTGCATACCTGAAAGTCAGAGAGTTCAGGTTACTTGGTTTAAATCTGTGCTCAGGCAGGGCTTAGGGGGAATTATGGTCAGTATTGTTTTATTCATTTACATTCTGCATTTCCTACCCCCAACTGAGTCTTAAGGCACCTTATTATTATGTATATGAAAAAAGATACAAGTATGGCATTAAAGCAGTGGTTCCATTCCTTCCTCTCCAACAGATCCCAGAGTGCTGCTCGGGGACAGTTGCTCCAGTAAAAAGATTACTTGTAGCATCCCACAAGACGCCATTCTGTCCCTGATGTTGTTTAACATCTATATGAAGCCGCTAGGTGAGATCATTCGGAGTTATGGGACTGGGTGTTATCAGTACGCTGATGACACCCAGATCTATTTCTCCCTGTCTCGATCGTCAGGCTTGAATTTCAATGGTGTCTCTCCTCTTAATGAGGTAGTATTGGGCTGGACGAGGAAAAACAGATTGAGATTGAATCCAGACAAAACGGAGGTGCTCACAGTGGCGGCCCCAAAACCAGGAATTGGGTTGCAACCTCCAGTTCTGGATGGGGTCACACTCTCCGCGAAGGACTGTGTTCACAGTCTGGGGGTGCTTCTTGATTCGTCGCTTCAGATGACTAGTCAGGTGAATGTGACAGTCAGGAGCGCCTCTTATCAGCTTCAGCTGATACGCCAGCTGCGCCCTTTCCTGGAAGTAAGGGATCTTGAGATTGTGGTGCACACACTGGTAACATCCCGTCTGGATTTCTGTAATATGCTCTACATGGGGCTACCCTCATGCCTGGTCCGGAAACTTCAGTTGGTACAAAATATGGCAGCCAGAATGGTCTCAGGAACATCTCGGAGAGATCACCTAACCCCTGTGTTACAATCTCTTCACTGGCTGCCTATCAGTTTCCGGGCCCAGTATAAGGTGTTGGTTATTACGTTTAAACCCTAAATGGCTTGGGTCCAACCTATCTTCGGAACTGCCTCCTCCCATATAATCCTCCCCGCATACTCCGGTCCTCTGGGAGGAATTTGCTTTGGCCACAAAAATCTAGGCTGTCTACAACCTCCCGGAGGGCCTTTTCGGTAATCGCCCCCAGATTATGGAACGGCCTGCCGGATGAGATCCATCAGATGACAAGCTTGAACAGCTTCAAAAAGGGGCTAAAGATGGATCTCTTTCAGCAGTCCTTTCCTGATTAGATCCCGGTCTCAGGAGCTGCGCCCTTGCCCTTTTGTGTCTCTAATTTGCCTGCTGTTTGATTCTCTATTGTTTATTTTAATTTATTTTAAAATTTAGCTGGATTTTAATGGTTATTTAGTTTAATATGTTTTTAATTGCTGTAAGCCGCCCCATATAGTCAACATAACTAGAAGCCATTTGATAAACTTCTCATCCATGAATTTGTCTAATCCCCTTCTGCATTGCTGCCATTGGTATCTGCTGCGTTTTGGTTCCATGGATGCTCAAGTCCCATTAAAAACAATGGCATAGTAAAATGGTGCCCCTTATAATAAAATGGCAAAAACAAGGTTTGCTTATTGAAATTTATATATTTTTTAAAATTTTTCAAGCCATGGATGCTTAAATCTGTGGATAAAAAATCTGTGGATATGGAGGGCTGACTGTACTTTATATTATAGATAATATTATAAACCTGTATCATGTTCTCCTATAATCACCCTTCTATCTGAACTAAAACAACTCAAATATTATAAGCTTTTTATCTTGGGGAATTACTCCAGGATACTTGCCCCAGTTGCCTTTTTCTGAACCAGCCTAACATTTTATTATTTTTTATATTGTATTCTATTCTCTTAATCTATTATTATTGTTCTGAATTTTATTATTTTGTTTATATTTTGTACATTATATTCATTTTATTGTGTAATCCTGCCTCGATCCGTAGGGAGAGGCGGGAAATATACATAAAACTTATATATTAGTATTAGTATTAACATGGAATATAATATAATGTAAGTAAGAGAGCCAGTATGGTATAGTGGCTTGAGTGTTGGACTACAACTCTGGAGACTAGGGTTCAAACCCCACCTTGATCATGTAAACCCAATGGGTGGCCTTGAGCAAGTCACACTCTCTCAGCCCCAGAGAATGGCAATGAGGAACTCCTTCTGGAGAAACTTGCCAAAAAACTTGACCAGGATACGTTCATCTTAGGGGCGCCATAAATTGGAAACAATTTGAAGGCACACAGCAACAACAAAGTTCATAATTATAAAGAAGAAAACCTAAAACAGCAGGTTAAGGAAGCCAAAAATAGTATGGTTAAAACCCAAAATTCTTAAAGGCCTGGGAAAACAAGAATGTATTTGTGAACATTTGGCAGACAGCCTTCTGAGAAGAGTCTTTCTCCATTCACCAGTCCCCATAGAACAGCCTCAAAGGATAACTGCAAGAAGCAGGTTGGTCAATATAGAAGATGGTGGTCTTATGAGTATCCTCGTAGGAAGCCATAAAGAGCTTTCTTTAAAGGTCCATGGAGTATTGTGAGATGGGAATAGCTTAATGACTGGAAACATATGCTCCTGACAACAAGTCCAGAACAAGCTGGAGTTTCTGGACAGGCATCATGAGGCACATCTGTATCTAATATATTTTATAGTCAAATAACCTGGAGACTTGAATAATTGTGACAAGTTCCCCCAAGCCCAGTAAAAGAAGTATTAGACCTAGGGCTGGTGAAAAGCATGTCATGTCAGAGAGGGCACCACTGCCTCGGTTTTTAAAGCTGAAACAGTAAACATTTCCAGACTGTAGGCCTTACTGTTCAAGAAGAATGTAACCCCACGCAGAAGGGAATGGACAACATTGTCCAAAGGCACAGAAATCACTTATGAACAGCATCCCCATCTCAACTAAACTGAGCTCAAATTTACTGACCTTGACTCAGTACACTACTTACACCAGTTTCGGAGTTGGGCTGCTGCATCTGAGCCTGCATCCACACTGCAATAACAGTATGGTTTGACACCACTTTAACACCAATTTTTGACACCCCTTTTTTTTTTCCTGGGGCTGGGAGTGCATGACTCACCCAAGATCACCCTGTGGGTTATCACGGCTGAACAGGGAACTGAACCCTGGTCTCCAGAGTCATAGTCCAGCAATCAAACCACCGGGCCACGCTGGCTCTCCTTGCAGTGTAGATGTACTCTCATTTAGAGCCGTGGAAGAGCTGGGGGTGAGGTGACATCTTGGCATGGAGCCATTCTTGAAAATGATGTGCGAGTTACAGCCAGCCGGTGCAACAAAACACAGAGGTGAAATCAAGGAAAATTGGGCACTGAAAGAGACCCATGGAAACGCCTTCCTCGGGGTCAACAGAAACCTTGCCCTGGCCTAGAGGAGTGTGGATGCTTCTGTGGAGTGAAAAAGGAGTTCCTCAATGGAAGACATCCCCACTTCCTCCTCCCTGCAGTGAAATGTTAGGATTTATAGTACATGGCGTAGTCCAGGGGTAGGCAACCTAAGGCCTCGGAGGGGGGGGGGGGGGGGGGCCGGATGCGGCCCCCCGAGGCCTTTGGACCAGCCCTAGACTGGTTCTGCCACTGCCGCTGCCACTAACCCCAGCCGCCACTGACCCCCCGCCATGATGATATTGATTATTGTTGTTATTACTTGTTCTTGGGGTTTTCTTGGCAAAAACTCCACAGGGGTTTTGCCATGGCTTTTCTGGGGCCAAGAGAGTGTGCATGCATATTTTTTTTTATTTTTATATTTATTTATTTAATTATTTATTTTTGGTGCTTCGGCCCCCCAATTGTCTGAGGGACAGCAACACGGCCCCTGGCTCAAAAAGGTTGCCTACCCCTGGCGTAGTCCATAGCAGGGTAAAGTATTAAAATGCAACAATAATGCCTAAGACTCTGGAGACAAGACTTGAATCCCAGCCTGGCCACAAAAACCCACTGGGTGATCCTGGGCAAGTCACACTCTCTCAGCCTCAGAGGATGGCAATGGCAAACCTCCCTCTAGTCTAAACAAATCTAGCCAAGAAAACCCCCTGATAGGTTCACCTTAGGCTTGCCATAAGCCTGAAATGATTGAAGGCACATAACGCACATAAAGGTGACCTTATCATGGGTTTTCTTGACAAAATTAGTTCAGAAGTATGTCCTTGTCTTCCCCTGAGGAGGCTGAGAGGGTGTGATTTGCCAAAGGTCACCCAATGGGTTTCAATGGCCAAACAGGGTCTCAAGCCCTGGTCTCTAGAGTCATAGTCACCCAAACCTCTGCAAAAATAATGCAGTTTGACATTAGAAGGGTGTCCCTTTTAACTGCTCTGGCTCCATTTTACAGAATACTGGGATTTGCAGTTTCACGCACCAGCATCCTCTGCCTTGTTGTTGCTGTTATTGTGTGCCTTCAAGTCATTGCCAACTCATGGCAACCCCAAGGCAAACCTATCCTAGGGTTTTCTTGACAAAATTTGTTCAGAGGGGATTTGCCATAGTCTTCCTCCAAGGCTGAGAGTGTGTGACTTGCCTGAGGTCACCCAGTGGGTTTTTATGCTCAAGCAGAGATTTGAACTTTGGTCTCCAGGGTTGCACTCAAACCACTATGTCACACCGGTTCACTGGATAAAACAGTTTGACTTAACTACTGCCCCTTTAACAGTCCTGGCTCCATCCTAGAGAGTCCTGGGATCTGTAGTTTTGTGAGGCCAGGAAGAATTCCAAAATGTCCTCCATTTGGAGGGTGACCAGACGTCCTAGTCACAGAGGAGGGCAAGGCGCTGTGAAATGTGGAACATTTTAAAAAAATGCAGGACATGCCCAAAGAAAAGCTAGAAACACTTGTAGAAATATAAATTGATGCTTCTCAATCAGGCTCAAAATGGGGGACATTTTGGAATTCCTCCTGGGCAGAAGAAGGCTGAAATGGAGGGCAGGTCCTGGGGGAAAGGAGGACCGTGCCCCTGGCACCAGCACTCACTGTGAGGGGAGGCTAAAGGCCTTGTAAAACTACAAATCCCAGGGCCCCATAGGATGGTGCTGCAGCACTTAGAGTGAGGTCAAACTGTATTATTAGGTCCAAAAAACACTGCAGAAAGAAATGGGACGTACTAAAACAAATGACAGTCCTTGCCCATAGGGAAACCATACTTGCCCATAGAGAACCATTGGGGAATACTTGCCCTTAGGGAAACATTGGGGATGTCTCCAGGTGTGATTTACCCTGTGATAAACTCTATGGAAAAAGGAATTCCCACTATTTCCCTATGGGCAAGTATTCCCCGATATTCCCCAATGATTCCCCATGGAGAAGTATTCCCCAATGATTCCCTATGAACAAATATTCCCCTATGATTCTCTATAGGCAAGAATTCCCCAGTGTTTCCCTAAAGACAAATATTCCCTAATGATTTCCTATGGATAAATATTCCCCAATGATTTCCTATGGACAAGTATTCCCAAATTATTCCCTATGGACAAATATTCCCCAATGATTCCCCATGGAGAAGTGTTCCACTATGGTTCCCTATGGACATGTATTCCCCAATGATGCTCTATGTTTATCACAGGGTAAATCACACCTGGAGACATCCCCAATGTTTCCCTAAGGGCAAGGATTCCCCAATGGTTCTCTATGGGCAAGTATGGTTTCCCTATGGGCAAGGACTGCCATTTGTTTTAGCACGTCCCATTCCTTTCTGCAGTGTCTTTTGGACCTAATAATGCAATATGGCTTCCCTATGGGCGAGTACCTGTACTGTACGTCCCTGCAGAAATAATCCAGTTTGAGACCGCTTTAAGTCCCCTGCTTCTAGGGAAGGATAGTGTTTGTGAGACCTTGAGCCTTCTCTGTCAGAGCGAGCTCTGGAGCCACAACAAACTACAGTTCCCAGGATTCCCTAGTCGCACTGAGCCAGGGCAGTTAAGGCGGTCTCAAAGTGGGTTAGCCTTTCTGCGGTGCAGAAGCCTCCTTACCAGGCCCAGGAAAGCGGCGCAAAGGACGGCCGAGGTGAACCACTTCAGCCCACGGCGAAGGGGCGGCGGCGGCGGCGGCGGCGCTTCTTCCTCCTCCTGCCGCCGTCCTCGCCTCCGTCCTTCGCCAACGCCGGCCGCCCTGACCTCCGCCGAGAGCAGCGCCTCTCCTCCTGCGGCCACGGCGGGCTCCTTTCCCTCAGCGCCCTCCTTACGGCCTCCTTCTTCTTCTTCCTCCTCCTCGTCGTCGCCGCCATCTTGTCCTCCTCCTTCTTCGTCTTCTTCTACGCGCTCGAAGCGGACCTGCTTCTTCCGCTCCCCCGCCATCTCACCCTCGCCATAGCTCTGTGGCGGCACCACGTGACCCTGCGACGCAGAGGCAGACGCCGGGAGCTACAAGACTACGACTCCCAGAAACCCCCGCGGGAATGGCCTTGTTCTAGCCATAGGATGCTTCCGCCCACCATCTTTTATTGCGTCAGAGTTTCTCTTAAGCGCCCATTGGTTAAAATCGTGCGATTTTTTTTCTTCTTCTCCTTTCGCTCTTCGTTCATTGGCTCTTCACAGAAGCGGGCCTGCCCACACCCAAAATGGCCTACCCGGGTTGTGCTGCCCTAGTATTTAAATGAACCCCCGAAGGGGGCGGGGCTTCCTTGTCCTTTGGAACGGGGAACCGTTAACGGAGAAGAGGAGAGAAAATGGCGGCGCGGAGGGCCCTCTGCCGGGAAAGGAGGCGCTCCTGCCTGCCTCTCCTGCCTGCGCTGAACTGCACGGCAGAAATAATCCAGCTTGACACTGCTTTAACTGCCATGGCTCCATGTTGTGGAATTCTGGGACTTGTAGTGTATTGTGGCACCATAGCACTCTAACAGAGAAAGCTGTCTCACAAAACTACAAATCCCAGAAATGAGCCAGGGCAGTTAAGACGGTCTCAAACTGGATTATTTCTGCAGTGCGGACGCAGCCTTAGGCTGTGGAAATAATGCAGTTTGATACTGTTTTAACTGCCGTGACTTTATGCTATGGAATCTTGAGAATTGTAGTTTGTTGTGGCACCAGAGCTCTCAGAGAAGAAGGCTAAATGCCCCACAAAACTACAGATCCCAGAATTCCATAGCATATAACCAGGGCAGTTAAAGCGGTGTCAAGCTGTATTATTTCTGCAGCCTTAGAGACCGCTTTAACTGCCCTGGCTCGTTGCTAGGGAATCCTGGGAATTGTGTAGTTTCTTGTGGCACAAGAGATCTTTGACAGAGAAGGCTAAATGCCTCACAAAATTACAGTTCCCAGGATTCCCTAGCACTGAGCAGGGCAGTTAAAGCGGTCTCAAACTGGATTATTTCTGCAGTATGTTTTGGACCTCTGTTTGTGTGTGGCGAATATGATGACCCAGAGCTCCTCTTAGCTGGAGCAGGGCAAAGGAGTATAGTATCATCTGTATACCTTTGCTAACAAGGCAGGTTTTTCTTTCCTCCAGTTTCCATGCCTCCTTCCTCCAGTTCTAATCCAGTTTTCCCTATGCTATCTTTAGTGTATAAATTGCATAGGGTTATAAAACTGAGCCTTTCCTAAACTCCCTCACAAAAGAAAACAGTGGCCTCTTGTCCTGAGTATATAAGCTATGCATGAAGACAATAACAAATTATTTAAGAGAGATCTATAGTTTTTCATGAGCTACGCGATCAGACACTTTGCTATAATCTATAAAGCACTAGCTGCCTTTCTTGGGAAATTCTTTGATATGCTCCATTATCCAGTGTATGTGTGCAATATGATCTCTTGTGCCCCGTCCTTTTCTGAACCCAGCTTGGACATCTGGCATTTCACACTCTGTATATCATGGGCAAAATCTTCTTTCAACATCACTTTGTTTGCATTGGAGATGAATGCAATGGCCTGGTGCTTACTGCAATCCCTGGTGTCCCCTTTTTTGGTCAAAAAAACTTTTGGCACGTCCCCTTGATTGCATTTAGGCCAGTTTTAACTTCTTTCTGAATACTCTGTCCGAATTTAAAACAGCACTGAAGACCCATCTTTTCCAGCAGGTTTATCCAGATAATTATAAACTGAATTAAGATACTGAATTTTGATGATGATGATGATGATATTTATTTTTTACCCACCTCTCCCCATGGATTGAGATGGGGGGACAACATTAAAAACAACATCAGTTAAAACTCATCAATTTAAAAGGGCAAATAAG